CCACTGAAATTCTGTGAGGGGATTTGAAATGGCTGTACATGCAAGAAACCCCTCAAACATTGCACAGTTGAAAGAATTCTGCATGGAGGAACAGGCAAAAATTTCTCCCAGCAGATGTCAGAAACTGTTAGACAGTTATAGGAAATGCCTGCATAAAGTTGTTTCTGCCAAAGGGGGCAGAAACGTTAGTAAATATGATCTTTGGTAACAAAAGATGCTTAATATTTGTGTGTTTATCTTAAATACTTTAGATTATTTGCCTTTCTGTGTGAAAATTGCAGACCATATGTCATCTACTATAGATCTACTATGGATCTGAGTCCAATATAGTCTAAGTCACACTTTTTTCTTTTTGGATGCTGTGTTTTGTTTTGCCTGATGGACTCAGTGTACGGTAGCCTGCGGTCCTTTTTGAGACTGATAATTATTAAACATGCAAAGTGATCTGGAACTTTTCAATACATCCTATACAACTAAAGCAAGAATAATCTAAGTAAGTGAGAAATTATCAGTCTGATTTCACAACATTTACCAGAGACTTGGCTTTTTGTGTTAACTATATTTCACTCCAGCTTCTGTTCCCCTTTACAAGGTTTCACTCTTTCTTCTTTATGCTTTTAGGAGGTTTTCCTGCTACTGTCTCCCACAGCACATTCATTAGGGGTCTAGAACTAAATTTTTTGTAAAGCTGTTGCTGTTGAAATTGACATTTTAAAACGGAACTGAATTCCTGCAATGGTTCAATTAGTAAATGACCGAAATATGCAGTCTAAGCTATTCAAAATATACTCTTACTCGTTACAAGGGGCCTTTGCTGCATAATTGTAGCAACACTATCCTAAAGACCACAGCAGCTGTCCAATAATGAGCTCCGTCCCAATTCCTGCATAACCAACAGACAGACATAAATTAATGATGAGTAAGATTACTCAGACCCTTCATCACGACCTGAGCAGAAAGCCCTCAGGTGACTAAGAATGATACGTAAATATTTCATCAAAATGCAACCAGGAGAAATAAATGCAGAATTCACATATTCAGTGGAAGTGCAGCCACTAACAAAGACATGTGGATGCAATTAAAACGCATTGATGCAAAATGATGCAAGCAATGACGATAAGTGAAGCAGTGCACTAGATCAATCTCAGTCTGCTCAAGTGAAGCTCTGCTCTCTCCTAACTGCAAAGTTCCCTTCAGTAGTTCAAACAGCATGGCCTAAAAGATTTTTTCCAAAATAGACAGTGTGGCATGGGTGCCCCCCGGTGGCTACATATTGAAATTACAGTTCAAATCCTACCGATCTTTCTGCAATTAAAATTCTCTCCTGCAACCCTGATTGTGGAGATGCTTTGTGACAGCCTGTGGCCATTAAGCAGCTGTACACAGCTGGCAAGCTTGGCTGCGCTAAAATGAAGTGACAGGGCCAGTCTCCTCCATATTGTTGTTCTTGTTTCACTGGGGAATAGAGCACTGTGATGGTGTAGACACATATTTCCCATTTCCCATAACCCTAACCCTGAGCAATTCGGATGTCTCGATCCAGTTTTTCCAATTCAATTCATTTAATAATGAGTCTTGGCTGATATGGATCCAATTCAATAATACAGCCACATGGTGCACACTTCGAGTTTATTAAACCTAGTAACAACAACCCAATTTAGGAAGGATATATTAGGCTGCCAACTAACACTACAGTAAAATCATTTCATTCATGATACGTGTATATTGTGGTAATGTATTGTAATGTAATGTATGTGATATTGTATACTCTGTTTTGTTGTGACATACTTTTTTGAAATTAACATTTTATAGTGCGTTAAATATTGGCTTATTACCACAATAATCTTCTGTACTACATATGTGAAATAACCATTTTACAGTCTTGTGATACTCTATGATTCACATAGCTCTACCATGCACAAAGAAGCCTGTTCTCTTAGTTTTGAACATGTTGCTTAAGTCAGTTGTAAACCAGAAGCGGCACAGTCAATAAAGCTGAACAATTCCATGATACATTCGCTTTGCCAGAGTCATCGACTCATGAGTGAAAAACATTGCTAGAATGTGTTTTGTCTGATGTAGTATGCCATTCGTCGTAAAAAGACAAAGTCAGCATGAACTGATGATAAAAGGGGTGGTGAGAGGAGGAGGCGGAACATAATATTATTGATTATTATTTCTCCCTGCCTTCTAGAGCATCGTGACATAATCAAAAGTTAGAAAAGGTTCAATTAAAAAGCATTTGTTTGTTCAAAATTTTAAGAATGTGCATAAGTCACTACACTTTTGATAGAAAAATCACAGAAAAAAATGTGTCTTTTAAATGACATCATATGATGAATCGTGCTTAATATGACTAGGGACACAAACTAAGACAGTAAAAAAATTATTTTTGGTTTCAGTTGACTTTCAAAACAGCATGATAAGCACAGGCTTACATTTTACACGCAGCTAGTTTAACCATGTTGTAACAAAAGATGGCTAGCTCAGACACAGCCTTATCGCTGGAATTACAAATATTACAAGTGTTTGTTGGGTCTATTTATTTTCCAATTTAAAATGCTTTACATTGCTGATTTTTATTTATTTATTTATTTTTTAATTTCTGAAAATGTTACTGTTAGTTGTGGATAACATCTGTTTATAGCATTCTACATCAGTGGTGTAAACAAAGAGCAGTTGGCCTGTTACACACAAGCACTCTACTGTCCTAGTGTATTATATGCTAGCACTAGCACATTTTGCAGGCTAACAGCTCCACACCCCACAACGAAGGTTTGAGTCTGGCTAACTGATCCTCAAATGACACCAGCTTCACAAACCACAAGGCAGGCACAATTCTGGCTGACTCATGCTCCACTGACACAAGTAAATTCAAGTGACTGGTGTAGGAGTGAAAGAAAGGCAGAACCTGCCTTTAGTCTACTTGATAAGCTAGTGCTATCATCACAACCGCTGCATTGTTCTAGTTAGCACTGTTTAACATTTAGCAACTGTTGCTACACTGATAGTTTATTGGGTGAGGAATTGAAATCTTGCGCTTTAACATTCTTAATTTTAGTAATGTTACAGTGGGCGCTATGTTTTTAACTTTTGCTCTGTTCCATATCATCTGCTCAGCTTGTTCAAATATAGGGTAGTATTCCTCTTGTCATTTTGAAATAGCATATTTTGCTGAAAATAATGGCATAGCTCAGAAAGGGTAAGGCAGTGGGGGAAGGGGTGGGGTTTGGGCAGTAACAGGGCACAGAACCGTTGCCAATTTGCATAATCATGCATATTAGTATATCTTTGCATTCTTAATGACAGTGAAGGTTTAGGGATGCTCCTTTGTCATTTTCAAATGTTTCTTGGGCATAAAAAATTTAGGGGTAATTTAAATTTTGACCACACAAATGTTGTTTATATTGCACTGGGAGAGAAGAAGGGCAGATATACACACATTTCAGCTAAAAATAAAATCCATGCACTGTAAATAAGTCATACTCACCTGACTCAGACAAGGTCACAGCCAATTAATGTCACCTTTGATGAAATACGAAAAAATCTGGATTTATTAATGTGTTCAGTTACACTTACTTATGTAAATGAAAATGTATTAAAAGGCATATAGGTACTTTTCAATGATTTTCAAATGATAATACATTCAAATATGTTTCTGAGGAAAAGACTCTTTGTTTACTCTTTCCCCAGTTCAATTTTAGACATTTTGTTCCTAACTCCTTTTTTGTGTATAATTTAATTTATCTATTCTATCTTATTGTATTTTAAATTAGTCTGCTTCAATACCAGAACAATAACATCTAACAAATATCCGTTCCTACACTGATAGATGCTGAATATAGTAAGAGGCAGTTCTATAGGGAACAAAGAACTTAAATGAAAACTTTATTTTATTTGAAATGTTTGGCACAAAACTCCATAGCAGGGCTAAACTGCTGTAGGCTGAATAGGCAGCTATATGTAAATGCATTGGTTTTGATGACATCATGTCATCAAATGGGCTGTTTTTACAGCTTAGTTTTCATGTAGGGACCATATGGACTGGGGAATGAATTGTACGTTTTTTAACTTTAACTGTGTATGTATTACTCACACTTATTTGAAAATAATGAGAAAAATTAGTTTTCAATGATATGGCCCTTTAATGGAATACAAACTCTTGCTTTCCAAAGTTAAAGGATGTTCCCACATAAATGGCTAAAAACTTTTGTTTTCCCTGAAGTTTAGCTCTTAACTTCCATTAATTAAAATGGACGGACGCCCTCTAGTGTTTTGCAGTCATGTTTCTGGCACAACAGGAGAAATAGGCAGGGCTTCCCTTTAACTGGTTCTATCTGGATAGACTGCTAGCCAGCTAACTTTACCAATATTTATCAACATTAAAGAAGCATTCTGAGCTACAACTAGCATTTAATACATTATTTGCTAATATGTAATATTCTGTAGCGTAGCAGCCTCAACAATTTGAAAGAAACCAGATTTTTGAATCCTTTTTGTGTTTTCGTCCATCTCACTAACTTAATACCCAGCATGCACAAATACTTTATCAGGCTTCCTTCTGCATTAAGTAAAAAATAAATGTTAAACCAGAACATTTTGTTACTGTGAATATTTAATTGTGATATATATCATAACAAATTAACTTTTTTATAATAACACGTATTAATTCTAAACATGAAAAACAAAACTAGACTCCTCAACCGTAGCAGTCCAAACGACGGTTGGATCGGGCTCGCGCTGATCCGTTCATTTCAGTTGAAGTTTGAATTTGAAATGACAGTAGCATTGAACCGTACGGATGGCTGGCAAAGCGGGCATGACAGCAGAATGGCTAAACCCTGAATACACCTAGTGAAAACACCTAAGTTTGTGCGAAAAATGGTGCAGTTCTCTGTGTCTTCTGCTGTTTCTTTTGAGGGCTCAAAGTATTCCAATTCGGCCTTCCAGCCCCTCACTGTAGGTGGCAGCAATACGCCATGAAGCCCGAGAAGAAGACGGAGAAGGAGAAAGAAAAAATGGCGTTCACCTCTTTGGAGTTCACACAGTGTTGTTAGATACAACGGCTATCCGTGGGGATGCCTGCAATTACGAAAGACTTTCAGATGGGCTGAAGTGATAACATTCATATTTGCAATACACCAAGCGTGGCCTTATAACTAAGCACTGTAATACAGATATTTCCGCATGGCTCCGGCTGTACATCTCCTACAGAGCTGACAGGCTAAAAACAAACATCTGAACTAAATGGCATCCTTCAACGGAGATGGTAAGCCAGGTTTGCTTAGATTGATATCAGAACGCTAGTAGGGAGAAAAAGAGTGTTTGCTATAATCTTTATCTCACTTACTCGAGCTAGTTAGCTATCAAATGTTCAGTATACGTGGCTATAATTCTGATCATTCAGTCAGGCTGCTAAGTGGTTTGGAGGTATGAAGTAATTCTGAAATGAAGCTGACTAGGACATGACTAGGATCATGGCTAATGAACGATTTTCTCTTTTTCAGGGATAAACCATCTGCTGGTTGAGGTGAGCCCAGACATCCACATCTGTGGCTTCTGCAAGCAGCAGTACAACAATTTTGAAGTCTTTTTTGCCCACAAGCAAAGTTGTTGCCAAATTCCCACGACAGACATATCAACCACTAATGCAGGAGCTACTGGTAGGTCAGACAACAGCAATAAGGCTCCTATCTTAAGACATAGAGACCTTTAATAATATCAAATATAATAACAATGAAGTGGTATCTGTGCATACTATTTTTTTTTTTAAGTTCTCCATTAGAAGCCACAGTCAAGCACATTAGAAACATAGAAATGGAACTACTGTTCATTGTAAGGCAGCAGATAAGATAAGGACAAGATACGTTTGAAGTCTTAGAATGGTTTAGTGCCTTCAGATTGATTATGGAAATGATCCACAGACAACCTGTGATTTCTCAGGGAAAAATATATAAGTTTACACATTCCTTATTGTGGCTTCATGATGCATGTTAGAGGAAAACAAAAACAGTTTCTCAGAATTTCATATGTATTAACTTAGTCAGTTCTAATTTTTGAGGGAGCGAATCAGACCAGAATCAGTGCCTGGGCCCATAGATCTGTGGGAAAACATCTCATTAAAGCCTTGTTTTCGTTCTGTATTGTGCAGAATCCATTCAAGGTTTTACCTTGGGGGAGGCTTTTCAGACATGTGTATCAAAGGTTGTCAAGAAGACCATTACTAAAACCCAGAAAACACCCTCCAAAAAGCTGAAACCTGCAGTAGCTCAAAAGAGACACATTTGCTGCTTCACAGGTAAGAGACCACAACTCAGTAATATACTTAACACATTATGCTGTCTTGTCTTCTTTGTCTAAACGCATTATTTGCTTTCAGGTTGTACATTCAAAACACAGTATGGCCAAAAAGACATGGAAAGGCATATGCTAACACATACTGGTAAGAAATATTTCCTCACCTCATCACCTTTTAACCTGAGATATCCATAAAGACATAACAAAATGCTTTCTTGTCCAGGTGAGAGGCCTTTCGAGTGTGAGCTCTGTCACAAGCGCTTCAGCCGACGGGACAAGCTGAACCTGCATAGCCGTTCACACACAGGCGAGAAGCCGCACAAATGTAAGCACTGCCCGTATGCTGCCGCCGACAGCAGCAGCCTGAAGAAGCACCTACGTATCCACTACAACGAGAGGCCCTTTAAGTGCCAGATCTGCCCGTATGCCAGTCGAAACTCCAGCCAGCTCACTGTCCATCTGCGCTCTCACACAGGTCAGTGCTTTTACAGACACAGGTGCTTTCTTTTTTATTTATTTTGCTTTGCTTCTTTGGCTAAATTGTGATGTTTATTTCACTTGGTAACCACCTTGATTGGTAATATGGGTAGATATAGATGAACATACTTTAATAATCCTTTGAGGGAACTTGCTATGCAATTTTCAATATAACAGACACCCCATCCTTCAAATATGACAGCCACAGTATAAATATAACAGAATTAGAAATCATGATTAGATCAAGTGTAATAGTCAATAAAAGTCAGTACATAAATGCAAATGAATCAGAATAGATAAAAGCTCATGCCAGGAGTAATGGGCACATCTAGCTTTCTGATTGACCGCGAAAGTTCATCATTCTCCCAGTTTACTCAGACAAATGATGTATAACCCTGTGAGAAAAGTGTTATTAAGCCGGATGGCTCTAAAGGTAAGGCAAGTTTATTTATATAGCACCTTTCATACACTGCTGTCATTCAAAGTGCTTTACAAGTGAGAAAATAAGTAAAGGAAAATACAAATTAAAAACATGTTTAAAACAATAGATTTAAAAGAGAAAATCATTAAATTAGGATATCTAAAAATCAAATTAAATATGAAAGATTAAAAGTTAAATTAGTATTAAGAAAGTGCCATTACAGAGGAAAACCGCTAGAAATGGTAACAGTGTTTAAACTGAGCTGAAAGCCTGCTCAAATAGGAACGTTTTGAGCCTGGATTCAAAAGTGTCTAGTGTTGGGGCTCTTCTAATGCTCTCTGTCAACAGGTTCAATTTAAGAGCAGCATAGTAGCTAAACGCTGCTTCTCCATGTCTAGTCTTCACCTTCGGCAGGACTAACTGAGTCCTAATGATCTGAGAGTTCTGCTCGGCTCATATCGCTGCAGCGTATGAAATAAATATGCTTGTCCTACACCATTGAGCGATTTATAGACCATAATAGTATTTTACAGTCTATTCTGCAACAGTTTGGTAGCCAGTGTAAGGATTTAAGAATGAGGGTAATGTGTTCCCTTCTTTTACTCCTAGTGAGAACTCTGGCGGCTGCATTCTGAATCAGCTGAAGCTGTTTTATTGTCTTTTTTTAAAGATATTTTTCTGGGTGTTTTTTGCCCCTGAGCATTGCAGTAGTATCAGCCTTTGGCTAAAGACGCTCATTTGACTACTTACAGTTTCATAGTGAGGTACGAGATGTTGATGCTTCGTTTTTCCCTATCACCTCTAGGGGTCAGAGTTGAGTCCAACAACAGTGCAATGTGGTTTACTTGAAGTAGACTGTGGTTGAAAGGGAACATAATTTTAAGTTTTGAGGCAGACATGTTTATGTGGAGTGTTTTTCAATGACTTTATATTAGATCTTAGAAAGCTGTTTTACAATGACATTTATATATTGAGAATATGATTTTTTTTTACTCTGCATTTGCCCACCTGCAGGAGACGCCCCATTCCAATGCAACCAGTGTGATGCCAAATTCAAAATCAATTCAGACCTGAAGCGGCACAGCCGGGTCCACTCGGGTGAAAAGCCCTATAAGTGCGACCTCTGCGAGTATCGCTGCGCCATGAAGGCCAACCTGAAGTCACATGTGCAACTGAAGCACGGTGCAGCCGGCTCATACAGCTGCCCAGACTGTGACTTCCGCTGCTCAGCCAAAGCGGCCCTGCGCCACCACTCCCGCCAGCACCGGCCTGCCCAACCACTCCAGTGTGACCAGTGTTCATACTCATGCTCCAGTAAGGGCGCGCTCAAAGTCCATGAGCGTGTCCACTCAGACGAGCGGCCTTTCAGGTGCGAGCACTGCGCTTTCACTAGCAAGCAGCGCAGCAACCTGCTCATCCACAGGAGAAAGTGCCATGGGGAGAAAGCCGAGAAGCGAGTAAAAGCAGGCAGGGGGGGCAGAGCTGGCCAGGAGCCGCTGCCCAAACCCCTTGGCTCACGGTACCGGGCCAGGCTAGATGCAACTCGGCCATTTCACTGCAACCTATGCGATGCCTCCTTTGTAAGAGAGGACTCGCTTCGCAGTCATAAGAGGCAGCACAATAATAACACACAACAGCAGCAGAGCAATGCCACATCACAGTCACAAACCACAGCTATGACTAAAGTACCTACACAGGCTGCAGGGCAGGTTTCATTGACTCTTGCAAACAACTCAGCTTCTTCCTTTGGCAGCACACAGCTTAAGATCATTGTAGCACCCCCTCTGGGTCAGGAGGGTACATTAATCCAGGCGACAGTAGATGTGCCCTCGTCTAAACCTGGTACAGTCTTGCTCGGTTCAGAAGGACAGGACATGCTTTTGAACCCTGTAATACAGCAAGTGAGTCTGCTAACACCAGTGCAACATATTGGCCCACCAGCAGAGAGCAGCCATGAGCACCAGACAGTATTATTAACTCACATCGGTCCCAGTGAAGAGGAAGGCCCTCTTCAGGAGAGTTTACTGCAGACAAATGTTTCTTCTCAGACTACAAACTCTACTCAGAACTTTATCAGCACATGCTCAGTCCCCTCTTCAGACAGCAGCCACACGTTCATCACAGCCTGCTCGGACCTGGACAGCCTGCACGCTCTCATTCAGCAAGGCGGTACGGAGGTCACTGTGGTCACAGAGGACAACTGCTCCGTCGCCACGACGTCAGACTCCGGCTTCGGAGTACCCCTAGACATGGACAGGCCTCATCAGGAAATGTCTAAGCAGCCATGTGACAGGGTTTCAGATGAAGATGGTGGCTTAGTAATGTCCAGCTTAGATATGGAGCCCTCTAGTACCCTTCTTGTACACAGCGTCCCCCTGTCCATCTCAACTCAGGACCAACAGGCACCCATATACCAGCTCTCACCCCATAATATCTTTTCAGACTCTAATACAGCAGACAGCTGTGAGGACTGATCGAGGCACAGATGCTAACATCTTTTTGTTTTCTAGTTTCATTGACTTGTATATCATGCCTGTCATTTAAAGATTCATTTTCTTTGCCTGTTGTTTTTTTTTGAAAACATGAGCTCTGTGTGAACAATTCATGACAAATTGACCAATAGAAATGCTCAAAAATAACTTGGAATAAAGTATAGTTACATTAACATACAATACAGTTAAGAATGCTTTTTTCTTTCACCTTAATCTCCTTAACAGCTAATTAATAAAGCTTTGTTTTTTTTCAGAATTTATAGCATGTTAATTTATTTAGAGCTCTTGAGATTTTCTCTGTCACTAACATTATACAATTAACAGTTGTGGACTATGGAATCTATGCTTTTGTATAATGTTGACTTAATGAGTAAAATTGTTCATCTTTTGTTATAGTTTAGTTTTGAATTGTCTGAATTATGTCTTAGTGATATTCCAAACCATTAGATAGGTGGCAATCCGTACATACTGCACATATTAAATATGTATTATGGCTGCAGTTATTGCATTTGGGATTGTAGTACATACATGATGTACCTTTATAAACTCACCCTGACGTTCTGCACGTTTCACTTTGTTCTGTGCAGTTTTGGTCAGCTGATGTGGTACAGATAAGTGTATTTGGAAAGAACTTGCTAGATGGGTGATGCCAGACGGAAGGTCGAATGAGTGCACACTGAAAAAAACGTCATATGTTCAGGTTGAACAGTGAGGGACAAATGGTAAGTGTTTCTGCAAACAAAAAATACTGTCCAAAATAAGCAGTTGATTTTATTAAAGAAACAGCTCCAACATGCATCTAGAAAATGCTCCTACCATTCTATTACACGTCTTCTTCCCTGAAGATGGCGGTAAAGAGCTATTGAAATGCTGGATACTTTCGCAACTTCTGACTAGTGGCGAAAGGACACAGTATTCTGATAGTGTAGTTGGGTTGCCAGGAGTCGGATTAAAAAACACTTCTAAATATTAGTTATTTATGCGCTTTGCATAGCTTGTATGCTCTGACCTGATGAATTGGGGTCTTTTGCAAAATGTGATGTTACTTCATAATGAATTGACATATAAACCAACAACTATCCCACAAAAAGTCGTATAAGACTAGCATCAGTCATTAAGTCCGTTAGCGACAATGCAGCTGCAGTGAAATTAAAACATTCACGGCCCAGATTTGCTGTGCTGAAAACTTGCTCCTTCTCCACATTTGAACAGTTAAGTCTATGTCTGCGCTCAGGCACATGTGTGAATAATCTTATTTCCTGTGACAGTTACCAGATAACATCTCTCAGGCAGTTGCAGAGATGCAGAGACAAAGACATGAAATATGAATGTGGTGTGTTGCCTCTGCGTTTGCCTGACCACCGGAGTCGCAGCAGACCGCTTCCCGTGCCACATGCCATGACTGCACACTCGCTAAGAGCTAGTCCATGCAGATAATGCGCGCGGCCTCTTCCTCTGGCAGGCTGAGGATGCTGACAAGAGCACCTGTGTGTGAGAGTCAACAACTCCCATGAAACAGATTCATTACTGAATACAGGGCTGTCACTATTGCTTGTATTAGAAGTCATTATTCATTATTTTGCCAGAAAATCAAATAAAAATATAAAAATGCATAATAACAAACTTTCAAGAGTGTTGGTTCAGGTTCCGGGGGAGGAGGTTGTTGCCCAGTAAATGCCCAGCCCCTTATCCATAGATCTCTAGTGATGCCCCTGCAAACCATTTCAGGGTATAATATTTGAAAAAAGGCTTAATTAAAAAATGTTATGTCACTTTGTGGCCAGAAAATAAATATGCATGTCTTTCAGGCTTTGTACCAATGTAAACTAGTAAATAATAACAGCCAATTCATTTAGAATTTAATTTCTATTTATTACTTCAAACGAGTAATCAATTATTTGTGAAAGGTTGCTTTGATGGAAGAGAAATATGGATCTTTGCATAGGCAAGCCATTGACCACTGTAAGCAAAATGCTAAGTTTGATCTTTGGCCAGTTGGTTTGACGTTGTAGAAAGTTTTCGCAAATTGGGATGCTTTAGGTGAACCTGGTTTCAATGTTTGAGTTGTGGTTTTGCAACAGGCAGGTCACATTTGCCCAGAATATTTGTCAGACCCATTAGCACTTCTTGGCGGACTGAATTGTGCTTCAAGACGTCCTCCATAAGAGCTCCTCTGACTTCAAGTCAATTTCCTCATGTTTCTGAAAGAAGAAGTCCTGTGTTGAAAACAGTCGATAGCCTATTTGGTGACCTTGTTGCCACTGTCTCCTGCCCGAGTCTCTTTTGCAAGGTTTTGCAAGGAAGCGAAAGCTCCATCTGAGTGGCTTTCTCTGAGGAACAAGTGAGCATTGATTTTTCCGTCACTGCTAATAGCTTTAGCAGCTCAGCACTGACCTTCTCTCTCTCTCTCTCTCTCTCTCTCTCTCTCTCTCTCTCTCTCTCTCTCTCTCTCTCTCAGCAGACATTATGCCAATGCCTATTGATGGTCATTTAAGGTGTTTAACCTATGTTGAAATAGCCTTCAATACAACATTATGCTACCAGTCAAAAGTTTGGATTACTCAGTTGATCATAGAAGTGTTTTCTTTATTTTTTTAGAACAACACTGAAGACATCAAACCTATAAAATAACACATATAGAATTAAGCTGATACCAAAAAGTAGTTAAACAAGTCAAAACTACTTTCTATTTTATGCCTTCTATTGCTGGTGGGGTTTAAAAAATAATTAATAAAATGATAAAAATAATTTTTTGAATTTCCGTTAAACATTGAGATTATGAAAATGATTTTGGCTTTATAGGCTTCCTTGTCACTATTAGCGTTTGTCTTTAAAAAAAAAACAATTTCCTGCCTTTGGAGCAAAATGTCTTTTAAGATAAAAAAAAAAAACATATTTAAATAGTTGTGTCCAAACTTTTGGCTTGAGATCAGCAAAAACTAGCCAATGTTGTACATTGACATCAAACAATAAATGGATGTTCAACTGTTCAGACAGACATGCGGAAGTAATTATGCCACAAGTATCAGAATTATCAGGATCATTCCTAATCATGTGGTATCTTGTGGTGGAAAAAATGGCTCTTTCACAGTCTGTGAGAAAGTATCAGACTTTATATCTGATGGTCATAGATGTCAGCTCAGAAGTCTTACGTTATGAGAAGGTTTAACCAGAGTGTTTAGGCCTCAACCTTCACTGCCCAAGTCCCTCTAATTGCCTGCATACAATGTGGATGCTATAAAATCTCTCTCATGCTAATGATCTTGCTTATATTTTCTCAGAGCCCCTAATCTTCTTTGATGTGACTCTCTAACCCACCTATAGGTGTCAGTGAAAATCCATTACAGTACTCAGACTGATCTGCTGTTGCATTGTGACCTCTCATTAAATTCCATGCATTGTAAGTCTTAATTTTAGCCATTTCTGACTTTTCATACTATTCATCTTTTCCAGCTGTTGAAGCATTGGCTTCTGCAGTCATTCACCTTGATTGCTCCTTACCTTGTATTTAAATGCAAAACGGACTGTTGGAAAAACGGAACATTCTGCTAAGAGACCTTTAAGCTATGTCTGTTGGTCATTTTGAGTGACCATTTATCATTCTATAAATATAAAAAGACTGGTCGTTTTTGCTGTGTGCTTATTGATCCATGTGAAACTTTTTCACCTCACTTCTACTTTATTATCCCAGCTGAATGGCCCAGCCCCCACGTAGTAAAGCTCTCCATCCTGAGTCCTTGTAAAATGCTATTACGCGTGAAGATGATTGCTATGTGGGAAAAAGCAAGAAGTGCTCTTTGCTGCATCTCTTTGATCTATTATCTTGCAGACTTCCAGAACCTAATCCCAGGCATCCATGAGGAGGTGGAGTTCTCACAATTTCTCTCTCTGTTTGTTCCTTTCATTTTCCCACATTCTCATTTATTTTCTTCCCTGTTTTAGGTGCCTTATAGCATATTGTGACATGCAAAGCATCTATTGAAGAAATTGCACATCTGTACTCTTTAAAATGAAGGTGCTAAAAAGATGCCATTGAAGAACCACATTTGGTTCCCTACAGAACTTTTCAGTGGATGATTCTTTGAAGAGCTGTTTTTCTAAATGAGATATGCGAGTGTGAGGAACCTTTTTAAAATTCAAAAAAACCTTAAAACACATAATGGAAAGCCAAGAACCAATTAGAAAGCTTTGCTTTTAGGACTTTAACACATCCCTAGCTGGTTGACTTATTTTAGATTGTTGCTAATGAGTTCCATCTAGGGCCTGTTTGGTCATCCTGGTGGTCCTGACCAACTCCAAGCCCACAGGATCACTGATTAGGAAAAACTGCCCCTAATGCAGACCTTAACTAACGAGCTTCCTTACAGAGAGATGCTCAGATTTGCTAAATGAGGAGGCGTTCAGCCATTCGGGAATTCATCGGTCTCAATATGACTGCCCTGATTATCCTGAGGCAGGAAATATCAAAAGTGAAATATATATGGTCAGCATGTGCTGTTCTGGTCTGTTAGGTCTGCTTAAAAAGGTGACAGGAAGCTGAAATGGACCTCTTGATACTGTAAAGCCCTTCTCAGTTCCTTCCTTCCTGTGTTTGAAATGTCAGCCTTTGAATGGGGTCGTAAAAGGGCTCCCAAAAAAGCCAGAGTCCCTTCACAGCTGCTTGAAGAAATTGTATTTTGCGACACATTCACATCTGACGTCAACTCCAGAAAAGCCAGAAGGATCCAGGAAAGCGCAATGGCAGGAACTACCACAGTACCAAGGAGAGAGCAGACAAACAAACATTGTTTCTTCTTTATTCTATGCACTTTGTCATTGCTTTTTGTATTGTTGTATTGTTCCATGGTATCTTCTTTATTTGATGGGGAGTGAATGAGTTTTTTTTTTATTATTTTTTTTAGCAGGGTGGGGGATCTGCTTATCAGCTATTATGCAACAAAACTGGCCCTGCTCTTTCACAGCTTGATAACAATATGCTTTTGACCTTTGTTTTGTTTGCATGCAATTTGGCAGCCCATTACCAAAAGGCCCTGAATGGCTTCTAATGTAATTAACTGGTCTGGTCAATGTTGATATGGATTTTTTTTGCTCCCTCCCTCCTCATATAAGCATCTTTCTGCCTTGAAAAATCAAAGTATTGATATGTTCTGAGAGGTTTTAGTCCTCAGCAATAGTGG